TGGTGGAGGCCCCATCCCTGGGAACATTCAAGGCCAGGTTGGACGGGGGTCTGAGCAACCTGATCTAGTTAGTGGTGTCCCTGCTCACTGCAGGGGGGTTGGACTGGATGAGCTCTAGAGGTCCCTTCCAACGCAAAACATTCTATGATTAAAAAAAAATCCAAGAAACATGAAATCCAGTATTTCTGCCCGTGAGAACAAATTCAAATTACATTTACAGTACATAGAACTGCATTGGCTGCCAATCAGGAGGGTCAGGACAGCAGTATTGTTTTATCATCTGTGCTAATCGGCTGAAAGACTAGGTGATGGCTTTCAGACCAGCTTGAGAGTTGAATTCATCTATTACATGAGGTGAATTTTCACCCCTTCCTGGTCAGAAACATCATGCAGTATTTTGATGCTTTATTACAAGTTGCAGAGATCTCTTAGCTTTAACGTTTACAGACCCTATTCCCTGTCTCTTGTCTTTGTTTCTTGCGTGCCTCATCCTCGCTAAATCTTTAGATTCAGGCTCCTTTTCCTTAGGTTTCCATGCTAGAGTCTTGTTTCTAATACCTGGCACGGAGTGGTACTAGGTGGAGAAGGTATACAAACAGCAGATTTGTAACTTTGCTTTTTAAAACAAAAACAAAACCCCAAACTGATTTTGCTAGTTAAAGGTTTGACCTTAAGCCAAATTTGAATCTTCCCTGGCAATAGAGAGCAACTTGTGGAACTCAGGATGGTGCATCGTTGCTTCCTGCAAATTCAGCGTGATGTGAAAGCATTCAAGCTTTGCAGCGGAATATATCCCTACCTTAGATACTTGCTGATCTGGATGTGTAACTTGGCAAAGTTACAAACACCTAAACATGGGGGCAGAAAATACTGAATAAACTTTTTTGGATGGCTGAAGCCTGGGAACTACGCAATAGGAATTTCTCTGTTTCCTGCTACCTGTGATTTTGTTTTGCTTGCTGCTTCAACTGACGTGATAGCAAGATAAGTTCAGTTACCATACCCGTTCTCTTAAGCACTCTATGAATGCTTGAAAACTTAAGTCTTACGAAGAACGGAACATACAAGCCTGGGTTGGACCTTCTGTTGTTCATGTAGTAGCAATAAAAAAAAATAAATCTGAGTGATGTGAAGGCACAGATGAGATAAACTCAATTCCATATTGAGAAATTTTTAACGGTTAAACGTGTGGTGCCTTCTGTGTTATTTTCAAGTTTTGTGTGTAACAGCAGTGGGGGCTATAAGAAAAATCCCAAATACTACATGGCTGATAGTAGAATCTAGAAGTTAACAACAGCATTTTGGTAAGAAATACTGAAACTGAGTTTTCCAACCCTTGTCCATAGTCTCTAAACTAATCTTTGCAGAAGAGGAGGAAGGAATGAGGGAAAAGCGAGTCCGCAGAGGTAAGGTTTTCCACTTTCTCGAGGCTGATGGTGACTTGTAAATGATGTACAGAAAATAACTACTTTTTTTCATCTGGATGCTACAGTGGCATCTAATACAGTCTGTTACTGGAGCAGCTCATACCGGCATAGTCAAGAGTTCAGTTTTGGTCTTGTGCTGCAGTAGCATCAGCAAAAGTGTGAGAGCACGAGCTCAAGTTTATTCTTTTTCCATCTAAATAGCCAGTGTGAGCTATGGGCTGAGACATAGGGACAGATCCAAAAATAGAAGGGGAAAAAAAAAAAAAAAAGAAAAAAAAGATTAGATAAAGGTTGGAAGAGAAAATGATGCAGCTGTGCCAGGGGACTGTTGGCATTCTGGCTCTCAACTAGAAAAGGCAGGGCATAGTGGTTTGAGCCAAGATTTCTGCATGGTTGGTGTCGGTAGAAAACACTTTTCATGATAATGTAAGCAGAAAGGCTAAGGCACCTTGAGTTACATAGCACCGATCACAAAACAGCTTACACACATGTATTTTTCTGTAAATTCACAATTTAACTTAGACTTTGGCCATGGTTTGTATGCTTACGTTACCAGCTCATGTGTAGGCTTTTATTTTTGCGATAAGTGCTGTGTAATTCAATGTGCCTTTCCCCTTCGTGGAGGCTTCAAGACTCGTGCAGCAGCAAGTTGCTATATATAACTCGGTTCATGTAATTCCTCACCGCTTTGGATACTGTGCTGTCAAGGTGCTATTTTTGATTTCATACTTATTTTTCTATAGGGTGATTTCTATAGGGAGGATTCATCCTCTGTCACTAATCTGTTTTGTTAACTTCTTTAATAAAAGTATTCTTAATGCTTAAAGTGTTTTTCTTCAATGTGCAAAAAAATATTTAATTCTTTCACTAATTTTATCATTTCTGTTTATAGGAGAGGTCTCCTCACAATTTACATGGCCAATCAAGTAAGTAGTCCTTTATTTCAAGAATAAAAATATGTAAGATCCATTGGAAATGCTCTTGTTTAAAATTGATGCTGAGATTCATTGCCTTTGTAATGCTTATTAATTATGTGTTATTAGGTAAATAAAATTATCTTCAGAGCAAATTGTGACTAAAGGTCTTTTGGAAGTAGCTGTAAAGCACAGGCTATTTCATTGTGCTATGCTCAAAATTTCTTGTGTCATAGCCCTAGGAAAATGGGTAGTTTTATATATCTCATCCATAGCGGAATGGTATCTGGTACTTTTAATGTTCATTATTTTGCAGATGAGTAATCCAACACCATATACTTTAGTTTTGTAATTAATTGTTTCTCAAACTGATATAAAATACATGCAAACATTTTTACCACGTGGTTGTATAGATTTACATTTTTTTGTGTCATATTCCTTATAATCTCATTGAAATACATAACAGTAGTGAATTTATCTAAATGCTGCTTTGTGCATTAACTTTTTCTAAATATGTAGTACTTGTGTTACATGATAATACTCCTTTAGAACTGATTCTATTATGCCAAAAGAATTATCTGAGATTTTTATAAAGTTTGAGTTGGGTAAAGAGTCACAGAAACGACGAAAAAAAAGGAAACAACCTAAGAGTTGTGTTCCAGACTGCTGTAACAATTTGCGGGGGCCTCAGTAGAGCCGTGCAAGCGTAGAACTCTTTGATGATGATGAAATGAGTCATGAGTAAAAGTGATGAGACCAAGGCAATGTATTGCAGTACAGACTAGGGTGACAAAATTGATACCTTCTCCTCCATCCTCGTGAAGCCAATGATGGTGACTCTTGTAATTCTGAAGATTTTAGAAGGAGGTGGTGATGTATGTTTGCTAGCAGGTAAATATCCTGGAAACTCCCTATATGTGTTTGCCAAACCCATTACAGACTTCTCTCTCAAATTCTGGTGTTTAACAATTTCTTTTAGGCAGAAATTGTTTCTTGGGTTATTCTGTATTCATATACTGCCTGTCATTACAGACAGACTCATGAGTGGAGCTTACAGACTTCAGAAGAGAAGAAATTAATCCTTGCCATTAATTTTATTACTGTCAAGTATCACTTTAACTTGTATAGCTGCTTGACTTGAATGGCTCATACTTTAGGATTGCTTTTCTTTTGTAATTTTTTTTCCTAATTTGAAAAGATGAAAAATCTCTTTCTTGAAATTTAATTAATTAGGTGTTCAGACCCTCAATAACATGTGGGAACAAAGTTGGATTCATACGGGATATGTTAACCTTGAAGGGTTTGAAGTTTTCTTTGAATTCAAAAGGGCAACTATGTAGAATCTCCTCATTCAGGAAACATAGGTTATAAAAATACTGATAATTAGTTGGGCATGTCATCATTTGGGATGGGCTTTTCAAGAGAAGGGTGAAATAGGTGTACTTAAATAGCAGCACCTCTGAGTATCCCGATTCTGAGAAAGCTATCATCGTGTTCACAGCTCTTAAGCTGCAATGCCACACAGTTCACATGCCTTTGGACGGTGTTAGAAGGGGAAAGTCAACCGATGCAGTTCTCTTTTATTGACACCATTTGATGCAATGGGTATTCTTTTCAATGTAATGGTTTATTTTAGTCACAAATCTTTGGTGAACTCAGGTTCATGACATGCTGACCTTGTTAGCAAGCTGTGTTGTCACTGGAAGTGCTTCCCTCTTTGTGTCGCTTGCCTTTGGTTTAGAACTTTTTATGCTTTGGTAAGGTTCACTTAGAAATTTACTAAGCCTTTAAAACACTTATTTCCGTCATCTTTAGATTGCGGCAACACCCCATTCTGAAAGCTGGCAAATTTTCATCACTAGTGATGGCAGCTGGATTGTGGCATTGCACTGCGTTTCTTGCATTCTGTAAAACTAGTGTCAGGACCTGTTAAGACAGTCATTGAACTAAATGTATTCCTTTTCGCGTTTTGCTAAACTACGTTTTGCAGCCTGAGCAATAATAATTGAGGCTTTTTGTGTGATTCTTCATGTGTGCCTTTGCCTGGTTAGATAGACAGGAGGTAGCTGTTATTAGGTTTATTGGTTATTATAAGCAATTATCACAACTGTTGCTGCCGTGAATTTTTATAGCCATATTAGGGCTTTTAAATCAGAAAATTTTACCTCTATTGTCCCGTTGGCAATGCGTGACAATTTGTCCTCAGAGATGAATTTACTTAGTGGAAAGGGGAAAGGTGTGTTAAAGTCTTAATGCGCGGCTGCTGTTTCTCAGTTCAGTGAGCGAAATGCAGCAGAACAAGAAAGGCAGCGGGACTAAGGACCCTTGTTCTAAAGGTGACATTTTTATTGATTTCTAATATGGAAATACTAGAAACATATGCATAAGTGTTCTGGCTAACTTTAAATAAGTCAGTGATTATAGATTTATGTGAACCTGAACTCCCCAATTGTATTTCTTGCTGCGTACACAGTAAAATGACAGATTAAAAAGAAAGCTGGTTAGGTTACATATGCTCTATGGAAAAATTGCATAAAAATGCTTTCTTAGAGTAGCCTTCCACTAAATTGAAGCTATAAAACAATGCACTTTAGGGCTTGGATTTTCTTTTCCTTTTTTTTCTTTTTTTTTCTTTTTTTTTTTTCTTTAAGTTAAGAACTAGAAATAAGGATAGGAGTAAAGGATCTGTAGTTTTAATTTTGTTATGCAGAGTCTAAAATCAACTTCTGAGCTTCTCAGTGGAAGTCAGTCAAAGTTTTTAGAAGTAAGGTAATATGCCTGAGCCCTAACATGGTTGAACACATGGGTTTGGAAAATAACTAGTTACAGTTGGAGACCTGACGTTTCTGTAATAGCCCAGAGCGGAGCAGCAGTAGTCACTGCTGTGGACCACACAGAAGCACCGAGCCTTTCAAGTTCTATTTTGGATTGCACATGCTAAATTCAGGAAATTTCTAGGATCGTAAGAGATGCATTGGTAGTGAACATATAAGATGATCCTTCATGGATAATTTGAGATCAAAAGGAACCCCAAGATTCCAAGAAAAGATGGAAAATGAAATGTAATCTCATCAGTTATTTTTATCTGGAAAAGTAGATGATATTAATGACTGCCCATAAGTAAGATGTATAGCTCTTATGTTTCTGAACAGTTATGGCATACTTCATTGTGAACAGCTCAGCAGTGGAGTTGCTGCTTTTAAGTTGAAGAAACTGTGTCTTTGGATTAGGAATTTTTTCTGTGTTGCAAACAAAACAAGTAAAGGCTGCCTTCAATATGCAAGATAGGAAGGGACTAATCTGGACTAGGGCCAATTTGATATAAAACTTTTGAGAAACTAAAATTTGGGAAAACGGATACATTGTCATTGAAATGCTACACCAAAGAGGCAGTTATCCTAGCATATGCTGAACTACAAAATGCATTTTTTTTCCTTTATCAGAAAAAAAAGGAAGTTTCTTTACCTGCAATGTTTGAAATGGAAACTGTGCATCACTATATCAAAGGCTTTCTTCATTTTGTACTATGGCTTCTAATGTATGGTGTCATACTTACAAAATTGGAAGTGTTGATGTTAACAAGTTGCTCATGAGGGTCACAGGTTAAATGATAGGAAGCTCAAGCATAAAGCAGCTGGATGCAGAAGGCAGAGTGATGCTGTTGAGGACTGTTTCTTGAGTGTGATGGGAGGAAGAGGTGTAGGATTCTGGCCCAGCCACAGAGGGAGAGTTAGGGAGTGGAAAGGTATAAATTTGCAAAATAAGGCAAGAAAGATAGGAAGAAAAGGAGGCAGAGAAGTACAATCTGAAGATGAAAAATGAGAATGTATTGTGGCAAGAGGCGTGAAAGGACTGGAGCTGGGCTAACATAAAGGGAATTAGTTTGCAGGACTGTTACAGGTAAAACAAGTAGAAGAAAGGTGAGAAAACGTAGAGTCTATTCTAGCTAAAGCAGTGAGCAGATGATAAAGAAGGTGATGGGTTTGTGGGGAAGGGAAAGGATTAATTTTGTTGCAGTTAATATGAGGAGAAATTTAGCAAGAGACCAGAAAGAGAGACAGAGAGGGAGGGCATTACTGAAGTCCTGGATATGGGAATTAGAGAAATTGTTGTTGGCAATTGCATCTGGATAAAGTTTACACAGAAATATGAACATCCCATGTTTTATTTACTGGTACGCTGATGTTAGGTCATCAGTGCATCTGCCACTTCTGCAGTATTGTACATAGGTCCTCATATACCAAGGAAGAGAAACTGTTTTGAAGTAAGAAAAATAGAGCCATGCTTGTCGTCAGCAGTATGAAAGCAAAGCGAGGGAGGAAGGGTACACCTTCCCAGATGCAGTGTAATGCGGAGATCGTACATTAAAGACCAGTGACAATGAATAGAAATGCTGAGAGGACAGTCAAGAGAGTAAGAAGAGTACAATAAGGGAAGACCTTCAAAATTTTGTGTGTCCAAACTTGTGATGCTTTTTGGAAAACCTCTGAGAGCTGCTGTACCTGTGTTCACTTTAAGAGCCTGCTAACGAAGCTGAGAGCCTGCTTACCTCATTGCTGTTCCTTTCAGACGTGCCAACCCCTTCCCTTCCCTATGTCTGTGATTTCAGAAACGCTTTTTTCATTTGTATTTCAGGTCCAATTAAGATATAGTTAAAGCTACTAAGAAATACTGTTCACATTAAGCAAATACTGATCCGAACAAGTTGATCAAAGGCATTCCAGTGGGTGATGCTCTGCTTCTGTATGGGATAGAGAACAAAGTAACGCAGCTGAGCACAAAGTTTCTTGCAGTTTTAAAGTAGCCCAAGCAGTTTCACAGTTGAATTGTTTTTCAGTTGCATAAATAGACTAAATCTGGCTTCATTTTGGCTGTATCTTTGTTTATTCCAGCCAGTCAATGTGAAGGCTGCATGTAAGTTGTGCTCTTAAAGCCTGAAATATTTGGCCTAGGAGCACACGAAAATGATGAAGCACAGACTTAAAAAGAAATCCCTCAGGACCTAATGGAGA